CTGTCTCTTAGACCATACTCCTGATGTTTTAAAATGATAGACACAACAAAACACTTCACCCCACTCTTTGCTCTCTCTCTCTTACACATACGGATTCAGACCCCCTCCATTACACATTCCCTTCAATTCCTCTTAATATAATGCTAGATGAGTGACACGTGTAAGATTTTGAATTTCAATGGATATGATTTTTTCCTTGTGAGAAAATTCCTTAATAATGGTTAACACTCCACAACAACAAATATGAATGAGAAAATATATTATCCATTGAAATTCAAAATTTTACACATGTCTGATCATACCTATACATACCTATTGAAAGGAATGAGTAATCGAGGGTATCTAAATCCTACACATACCTATCTGATCATCACATTCACCCCAATTACACAACAAAAAGCTTTAACCTATCTTTCTCCCTCCTTCTCTGTCTTTGCCTACACTCGCCAACACACACGTCGATGCTGGTCATTGGCGAAGTTAGCGATTTAGCCTCCCACTCTTCCCCGCCTCAATCAATGCATTTCTCTCTGTGTGTGTGTGCGCGTGCGTTTTGGTGTTGGATAGGTGGCGGTGGACGTATTGTTATATGCATTGTTACTTTTCTTTAGTTTTTTTAATTTTTCTTTTCTCTCATATGTATTTAGTTTATAAACTTTATATCATACAAACAAGCATGGTTTTTAGTTATTATTCTGTTATTTACTATTTCTCTTGGTTTTAGGTTCTGAGTTTTTTGGGTATTTGTTGTTTTTGGATTTCTGGGGTTTTGATATGTGAGTTTGAGAATTTTGCTAAACATTTTTTATTTTTTGTTCTTGACCTCTGATCGGAGGTTCGATTGACTGAGGTTTCACGATTGTGAATCTCGCTTAAGCGGAGTGAAACCTATTAGAGATCATTGTTTTATATCTGTAAGTCTCTGTTCTTGGCAGAAGGGCGACTTTCTGGTAGTGGGTCATTTGGAGCTGCGTATGAAGGCTTCACCCAGTTAGTGTTGTCCTTTACTTATTTTTCTTTTGTGTGCATGACTACGTGTGCGTGGTCCTATTCAAACCAAACCTAAAAGAATCCTTCAACGCCAGACTATCTCTTCCAGCCTCTCTTCAAACTTCAAAGTTGTTTCCATCGCTGACGGCAACCGATTCAATCGTCGGTCTTTTGAAGACAAAAAAACTGTAGGTAAGTGATTGCTACAATCCATAAATTTGTGTTTAGGTTGCTGTATGATTTCTCGTGATTGGTGTTTAACCACTGGTATCCAGTTTGTTGTATGAAAGATGGACATGAATTGTTAATTCATGAATCACAAAATCACTAAATATGACATTCCCCTCATTCTCCAAAGTCCAGGCAACATCTTTACTTAATCATAATTACCCCTTGCTTCTTTGTTGTATTGTTGTAGTTCGTTGTGCCTATGAATAACCGAAGAGAGGGAATCAAATCTTGAGAGGGATAAAGGTTTTGGAGGGAATGAGACAGAAATGAGCAAGGATAACATGTTTTGGTGCAAAAAATTAATAAAAATGAGTTTTAGGATAGTAAGGGAATTTCTTAAAAGAATTAAGTAAATATTTGAATGGAGTATTTCATACCAAATCAAATTTTTGACTTAAATTTAGATTCAAATTTGATAGTTGGAGATGCTCACCAGAGCTTTTATGAAGGATTTTAAGGGATATGCAACTGGCTTCTGATGTGAATAAGGGGTTTGGTGGGGTTGGATGAAGCCGATTTCATGGGCAATATGGAGGATTTCATGGGTTTGTTTAGTTATGCTCCTAATGTGCATTAGCTTCTTTGGAATCTGGGAAGATTTCAAGGTGCAAAATCTTTTGATATTGTCCAAAGGCCATGTTTTCAGAGTATATTTTATCTATTTTTTTTAATAGTGGGTATATATTGATTGGTATTTTGTGTTATACATTGCTTTCGAATGTAATTTTTTTTTTTTTTTTTGGTATAGGATAATAACTATTATATATATATAGTAACATTAAAAATAAAAAATAGTAACATTTAAATACAAAAAAAAAGTATCATTTAAACACAAAAAATAATATCATTTAAACACAAAAAATAGTATCATTAAAAAATAAAAAATAAAAAATAGTAATATTGTATATTGTTATTTAAAAAAATAATAGTAACATAATCAATAAAAAATATTAACATTTAATATTGATATTTCAGAAAATAGTAATATTTAATATTAACATTAANTATCATTTAAACACAAAAAATACTATCATTAAAAAATAAAAAATAAAAAATAGTAATATTGTATATTGTTATTTAAAAANTATCATTTAAACACAAAAAATAATATCATTTAAACACAAAAAATAGTATCATTAAAAAATAAAAAATAAAAAATAGTAATATTGTATATTGTTATTTAAAAAAATAATAGTAACATAATCAATAAAAAATATTAACATTTAATATTGATATTTCAGAAAATAGTAATATTTAATATTAACATTAAAAACAAAAAATAGAAAATTTAAACATAAAAAATAATACAATTTAAACACAACAACTAGTTCTATTTAAACACAAAAATATAGTAACATTCAAAAAATAAAAAATAATAACATTATATATTAATATTTAAAAAAAAATAGTAACATACTCAAAAAAAAATAATAACATTGAATATTGATAATTTTGAAAAAATATTAACATTTAATATTAACAGTAATATACTTATAAAAAAAATAGTAACATTAAAAAAGATAGGAATATAAGCAAACTCAACAAAATAGAAATAGTAATATGAAAAAAAAAAATTGTACCAGTACAACATCATTTCCTTCACAAAAATACACAACTAATTAAATTGAAACCTCGCCGATCTTCCAAAAAAATAGTTACATGCTTCGGACATTTCGTCGAACACTTTCGGGGCATTGTGGAGATGTTGANCGTCATTTCCTTCACAAAAATAAACAACTAATTAAATTGAAACCTCGCTGATCTTCCAAAAAAATAGTTACATGCTTTGGACATTTCGTCGAACACTTTCGGGGCATTGTGGAGATGTTGATCTCAAATTGTATTGTAGAACCTGCTCCTGAACCAGCTCTTTGAGTTCATCCAAGGCCTTCTNCATCATTTCCTTCACAAAAATACACAACTAATTAAATTGAAACCTCGCCGATCTTCCAAAAAAATAGTTACATGCTTCGGACATTTCGTCGAACACTTTCGGGGCATTGTGGAGATGTTGATCTCAAATTGTATTGTAGAACCTGCTCCTGAACCAGCTCTTTGAGTTCATCCAAGGCCTTCTTTTCTAGATCAGGAAGTTCACCCACTACATTGCTTTCTTCTTTGAACGACGCCGATTCGGTGATCTTCTCTTCTTCTTTTTCCTTCTCGACCCCCAATTTTCTTTCCTGATGCTTGGATTAGTTGATTTTTGTTTCTACCATTGACTTTCAATTGGGTCAGAAGAATTTTTGAACTTCTCTCAAGTTATCAGTCTTCTCTCCAATCTCAACTTGCCTTATTTGATGATTCGGAAGTTTAGACTCTGAAGAAAAGCCAAGATTTTGAATCTTCAAACGTGCCTCCCTGTTTCAGTGGAAATATAGAAAGTTTTTGCAAGGAAGAGGTGGAGATGGTGATGGCAACTTCTTCCATGGTGGCGGGTTTCTCTGGCTTTGGATTAGGATGTGGTGGTTTTGCTTTCTCCGTGGTGGTGGTAGAGGGTTTCTCCGCCTCCGGTACATTGAAAACAACCATTTTGAGTTTTTTCGATGATCGTGGTGGACTTTGATTTTCAATTTGATCGATGTGTAACATTAGAATATGAATAAAAATTTAAATTTCAAATATTATGAAAAGATTGTGACAGGTAAAATCAGACAGTCATATATTCTTTTCATATATATATCTCAATTAACTATGATTTTTCATAACTGATTATAACTAAAACTCTTAGGAGGATTTTTGAGATTAAAAAAAGAAATAGACTTAAGTATTTATATATAAGTTCAAAAACAGATGTACCCTCAAAAAAATTTCTTTGCCGAATNTCTCAATTAACTATGATTTTTCATAATTGATTATAACTAAAACTGTTAGGAGTATTTTTGAGATTAAAAAAAAAATAGACTTAAATATTTATATATAAGTTCAAAAACAGATGTACCCTCAAAAAAATTTCTTTGCCGAATTTAAGTTATTGTAAATCCATCAAAGAGTATTTAGTTTTAATTTTTACTTAAAAAAAAAAGAGTTTTTCTTAACTCCCTTTTCTAACAAAACCGAAATTATTGACTCAATATTAAAAAAAAATAATGCTATGTAATTTAAATTTATAACTCAAATTTAAGGAATCATTGAATCAATCGGTCCTATTTAAAAAAGTTTTGGCCCACACTTCCTCCTGGGTCTCCCTTGTTTATGATGCAAATTTAAAATTTGTGTTACATATTTTCCATTAAAAAATGCAATAGTTTTCATTACCCAATCACAGTTCCTCATGACNCTTAAAAAAAAAAGAGTTTTTCTTAACTCCCTTTTCTAACAAAACCGAAATTATTAACTCAATATTAAAAAAAATAATGCTATGTAATTTAAATTTATAACTCAAATTTATATCTCAAATAAAGGAATCATCGAATCAATCGGTCCTATTTAAAAAAGTTTTGGCCCACTCTTCCTCCTGGGTCTCCCTTGTTTATGATGCAAATTTAAAATTTGTGTTACCTATTTTCCATTAAAAAATGCAATAGTTTTCATTACCCAATCACAGTTCCTCATGACCTCAACTATCGGCAATCAAGCTCTGCATCTGATCCATTTCCTTTGTTTTCCCCTTATAATCCGCTGGCTTTGTTGAAAATGTTAACCAGTTGTCCACAAATCTAGTCTTGTCCAGGTTGGCATGGCTCAATTTCTCTCTCTTGTCAATCAATTTTTGTTGTGATGTTCTCCATCCATCCTTCGTAATCAATTTATATATTGAAAAATTTCTTTATAAACTTGAGCTTTTCGCGATAAAGATACCGAATGTGAAATTCAAGTTCCCTATTTTTGCGGCCTTAATCCTTCAATCTGTCCAATTTCCAGGAAATTAACGCATGGGAATTCAAAAAGGTAGGGTGAAATTCAATGTTGGAGGCAAGATCTTCGAAACAACCGCAACAACCCTCGCCATTGCTGGCCGAAATTCGCTCTTCGGAGCTCTTTTCGACGACAATTGGGACCTCCAATTCGACAACACAACAGAACACTTCATTGATCGAAACCCAGATTGCTTCGCAGTTCTTCTTGACCTCCTAAGAACAGGGGAGCTCTACATTCCCTCCTACATACCTGAAAATCTCCTCTACAGAGAAGCCCTGTTTTATGGCCTTCTTGACCATGTCAGGTCAGCTAAATGGGGCCCATTCGACGGCAATAGGCTCCGGCTAGATCAGTCGGTAACGGGCCGGGCCCCAGGCGATGGCACGGCCATTCGGGCTGGCCCGGGTGGCGGGTGCTGTGTGGCACATGGTAGTATGGTACATGTGTATGATTGGATGCTAGAAGAGCACCCTCCAATAAATCTTGATTACCAAAGAGTTAATGATGCTTGTTGGATTGATTCTGATAACATTGTGATCAGTGCTTGTGAGAGATTAGGCCGCGGCGACGGAGGCATGGGATTGTTCAATGCATCAACAGGGGAGCTAAGGTATAAGTTTCATGTCACACATGAAAATGAGGTAAAGAGTTATACTGCTGGTGCTTTAAGTTTTAGCTCAGATTATAAACTGTTTTCTAGTTGCAAAGGTAGGAGCAATGAGTATGGGATTGGGGTTTGGGACCAAGTGACTGGAAAACAGATTGATTTTTTCTATGAACCACCTGGTTGGTCACTTGGTGATGCTGATAAACTGCAATGGTTACATGGTAGCAACTGTTTGTTGGTTGCAACTTTGTTTCCAAGGAAAGACAATTGTTACATTAGTTTGGTGGATTTTAGGGAGAAAAGCATGGTTTGGTCTTGGTCGGATATTGGGGCTCCAATAATTGATGAGAGGCGGGTTCGGGATGCCATAGCAATGGAGGAAACTAGTTCTCTGTGTGTAGTGAATGAGTATGAGGATTTGGGGTTCATGGATTGGAGGAGCGTGGGTCAGAGTGTGAGGTGGAGCTCGAGGAGCCGGTGGATGAAAGAGAAAATGCCTGATGAACCGTGTTACCCTAAACTGGCATTGCATGAAGGGCAACTGTTTTCTTCGATGAATGATAGTATTTCAGTGTTTTGTGGTCCTGACTGGGTATTGACATCGAGGCTTCGAAGAAGTTATGGAGGTTCAATTTGTGATTTCTCGATTGGAGGTGACCGGCTCTTTGCTCTTCATAGTGAGAAAAATGTGTTTGATATATGGGAGACTGCACCACCACCAATTATATGATTTAGCTCAAAGGCGTGTGGATGAATTTTTTTTCTTTCTTTGATTTTAGATGATGGAACTACTTGAAGCTTGTAAGTTTTAACCCAGATTATAAACTGTTTTCTAGTTCATAGGAGCATTGAGTGGGATTGGTGTTTGGGACCAAGTGACTGGGAAGCAGATTGATTTTCTTTGAACCACCTAGTTGGTCACTTGGTGATACTGACAAGCTGCAATGGTTAGATGGCACCAGCCGTTTGTTGGTTTCAACTTTGTTTCCTGGAAGAACAACTACATTAGTTTGGTGGATTTTATAGAGAAAATATGTTGTGGTCTTGGTCTGGTATAAGTGCTCCAATAACGGATGAGAGGTGGGTTCGGGACACTATAGCAATAGAGAAAACTAGTTATATCTACCTACTGAATGAGAGTGAGGATTTAGGGATCATGGATTTGAGGAGTTGGATCAGAGTGTAAGGTGGAGCTCGAGGAGCCAATGGATGATGGGGAAAATGCCTGATGAACAGTGTTACCCTAAATTGGCATTGCATTAAGAGGAGCTATTTTCTTCAAATGAATGATAGTATTTCAGTGTTTTGTGGTTCTGTCTGGGTATTGACATTGAGACTTCGACGAAGTTGTGGAGGTTCCATTTGAGATTTCTCCATAGGACGTGACTGACTATTTTCCCTCCATATTGAGCAATATGTTTTGATGTATGAGAGAGACCACCATCATCTATTATATGATTTAGCTTGAGGGTCATTTTAGCATATGGAGGAATATGATTCATGTTGCTGACCCTAAAAAATGGGGATAAAGGCTTTGTTTAATTTGGTTGGGCTGAAGGATCATTTTTTTTTCGAAGTTGGGGTTGGGTGTCCTACACTGAAGTGAAACTACAGTTCATGCTAGTAGACTAGGAGATAGGGCTTTCTTGTAATTTCAAATATCGCTTTCCTTTGTTTGATGTATTTATTTGATTTTAAGGGTGCACTGAAAATTAATTTTGGTACAACTTTTTACTTGTTCAACTTGGGTTTACCCTGTGAAGGCTCTCTCTAGTTTGTTTTGGACAAACTCTTCTCTTTATTTTCAACTTTACTTGAATAAAGATGATTCTTCTCCATGTCATATAATGCAATTCACCCTACTCTGTAAGATTCCAGATTCCCAAAGAGAGATGCATTCTGTATTTGAGCAATTACAACCCCCAAGTTGGCTGACAGGTTTAGAGTAGTTGAATCTTGTTAACCTTTTTACCCCACACCCCCACCCGGCGCTTGTGCGTGGATATAGAACAATTGACACTATTACTAAAAGGAAAAGGGATGTAAGGGATTAAATGACTAGTGCAAAGGGTTTCTTCTCTTCCACGGAAAGATTCTGGTTGACCACTCAATAGCTTTTTTCTCTTATTCCATATCGGAAGAAAGTCGTCTTCTCCTGCCATATAGGTGAACACCCACTATGGAGGAGGTACCTCCTAGCACCTGATCAAAGGGGGGACGATTTTGGGATGAGAGGTAAAGGCTTTTGGGTGATCACCTAGGTCAGTCAGAATCCTTCTGTGGAGGGGAAGAAACCCCTTACAACTAGGAGGACTGAACTCAAATCTTAAACATGACCAGAGCCGACCTTTATATTCCACAGATGTCTCTTACGAGTCTTGAACCGTCAAATCTTTTATTTAGAGGTGAGAAGCTTACGACACGACCTAAGAAACCGTCGTGGTAGATCAACTAATTTTGGCTCATGCCTTTTTGGTCTTTGTCATTTATAACATCTATAGCCAGCATACTTGATTTAGGGGTTCCTTTCTTTTTGTTCAATTTGATGGTGCTAATTGGACAGCACTCTCTGTATTTAAGTACAGGTTTGGAATACTAATCAAGCCATACTCCACTTCACATAGTCCACATTCCTACAGTGGGGGCAAATCCCTTTGACCCGCCAGCCATCCCCAAAGACAATTTAGAGAGAGGATGACTACGGGGCTAAAGGTGATATCGTGCAGAAATGTATAACCTTTCAAGGTCCAACTACGATTTTGAGAAGTGTTGATTGCAAATTGAAAACAATTGATCCAAAAATGCTATGCATGATCGATTATGGAAATTATAACTCAAAAAAGAGAAGTACAACTGATTTAAGTAATTCATGAACGATTATCAATTATCCCAATCAATTATAATTTCACCTGTAAAAATAGTAATTTTATGGTAGAATGCCGAATATTTTTTGGGTTTCGTAATTTTATCCAATTAGAGATATAATAGCTCAGACATGGTTTATTTACTTATGATTCTGTTTATTAATGAGAATACTTTATACATGATAACTACATTTAGCTAGATTATCATTTAGTTTTCTCCCTTGGTAACATTAATAAGCTAAAATGTGGTACTAGTAGATTTATCTTGGGTTTGTTGGTGTTTGGTAGGATCCATTTAATTTAACAACTATGAAACTTGATTGGCATTCACAAACATTAAGATGACCTAAATCATCCACCTAATGCCACTTAGATTTGTAGAAACCCCACCAATCAAATATAGATTAAAGCCCTAATCATTCCTATATCTCCTAAGATTTTTCTTTTCATCATGCATGGCACCTTCTTGTTTGAAAATAACACTCTCATCCCCTCAAGCATGTATCTTGAGAACTAGTCCCTTCTTGTTATACCCCATTAGGGCATCCATTGATGTTTGATAGCGTAAACATTTTTTAGGCACTGGAAGACTGAAATTATCCATTTAGGATCCGTGAGCATTGTGGCTTCTATTTTGAATAACAACGATGTCCTTGAGTATTCATAAATAAAAAGAAAACGAAAATGACCTTTATTTTTAAAATAAGATTCTAATCCCAAAAGGAAAAAAAGTAAAAAAGGGGGAAAAATCAACACAATGTACACATCTTCAATAACAAATAAGAGTCAAAAAGAGATGATGGACAATTAGTTTTGCAAATACGAGTCAAAAGGAGAGAGTAGAAGTATACAAAGATTGACTGCAAATTTTAAAATGGGATGCCCGATACCGCGTTTGAGTCATGATTGAAACTTGAAAATGAGATAAATTTGTCATTCAACTAATCAATTTCACTTGTTTAAATTATCTCAGTTTTTTTTTCCAAAAGATTAGGTTAATTTAGTCATTTCAATTTTCACCAGTTTTGTTTTCTTCAAAATGGTTNATGAGATAAATTTGTCATTCAACTAATCAATTTCACTTGTTTAAATTATCTCAGTTTTTTTTTCCAAAATATTAGGTTAATTTAGTCATTTCAATTTTCACCAGTTTTGTTTTCTTCAAAATGGTTTTCGTACTAGGGGTTGTAGTACTATTTTCCCAATGGGAAGGGCCCTATTCGACTAAGAGATAAATTATGAGGGTCTAGATGTAATTAATCGTAGATATAAAGATAATGGTCTCTCTCTCTCTTCTTTCCAATTTTGGCATTTACAAGCTCCGAGTTGTCATGCACTTGTGACGTACACGTCGTCTTCACACCGAACGGTTCCACTGTTGAAAGCCAGTAGGTGATCGCAGCTTCTGAGCTACCTCAGCACTCGAATGGCTTTTACAGAGAGAAATTAGAGAGAGAGAGCGATAGAACTGAATTTCGCAATTCTTCTGAACTATCTGTATATATATACAGCTGTGTATATGCTGAGTCTGGTGTTCTTAGGGTTTTGTAATTGGGAGAATTGAGACAGTTCGATCAGTCGGTGAATTCGCATGGCATTGTTTCGAAATTTTTTCTACAGGAAGCCACCTGACGGGCTTCTCGAGATCTGCGAAAGAGTTTATGGTGCGTTATTATCCCAATTCTCTTGTTTTCTCATCGTATAGCTGTGTTCGTGAACTTTTATTAGTTTAGTAATTTTGTTCTGTTCCAANAGATCTGCGAAAGAGTTTATGGTGCGTTATTATCCCAATTCTCTTGTTTTCTCATCGTATAGCTGTGTTCGTGAACTTTTATTAGTTTAGTAATTTTGTTCTGTTCCAACTATTGGAATTATCTCATGATTTAGGTATTTAGACTATATGTGTATTTGGCCGAAAATATGACGTAGCTAGAAACCGCGGGCAACCCAAAACTGTACTGTCCTCGACATTTTCGTTATTTTCATTTTCTAGAAGTGTTTTGTTTCGCAGCATGGTATTAACTTATTAATTTTGGAATTGGGTAAAATTAGTTTCAAAACTGAACTGATGCCCCCCCTCCCCTTCTTCCCTCTTGTTTTTTCCCCATAAGACTTCAATTTTAAGCTTCCAGGCTCAGCATAAGGGAATCCGAATCAGACTAAATTGACTCCTATGACTATGCCTTATACAACTCGCATTAAGCTTCATATTTTGATACATTAATAGGTGTAATTGTATGATTATAGTGCCCATCTCATGCCTTGAATTATTAGTTTTAATTTATACAACTGGGTGATGAAAAATATGCTTCCCAATAAAGTTGTAGTTTAGATATGCCTTAAGCTTAAAAACGTATTTCTACTTCATAAGAGCCTGTTGTATATATTGCGTGAATATATTGTTGTTCTTGTATTTCAATACTAATGTTTGCGAAGATGAAGATTATGTGGGTGGAATTTTGTCACCACCTCAATGAGCTTACATTCCACTTTTCCAAATCTTAGACTATATTTGCCTATAATTTCATTAACAAATTCTTTGTCGAATTTAGAATGTTTGCGAATGTTAATTGTATTTGTAAGACATATTACATTGTTAGCTAATTTTGGAGGACTTTAGAAAATAAATAGTGGGTCTGATCTGAACTTAAGTTTTGGATAACATCCTTAAACATATGAGCAGAATGAAGTTATCTACGGAAGCTTGGGAATTCTGATTTGAAGTCACATGGGCAATAATCCTAAGCAGCGGATCAGGTTCTTTTACATGTAGAATTTGCTTTTACAATGTTTGAGTCTGTTAGAATTTGTTTTATGGGCAAGCTCCAAGTATGTTTGGATTTGGTTCTATTTCCTATAACTGGTCATGTTAGTTCTGAGGCCGAATATTTGTTTCAATGCATCAAACAAATCCATGAGAAGGTGCATCAATAAGTTGAAGAAAGCAATTAAAGTCTAAGGACCATGTTGGCAAAGATAGAAGACACATGGTCTTTGACATTGGAGACTATGCATGGGTTGTTTTGACTAGAGATCACTATCAAATGAACGATTGCACACAAGGTTCGAGGTATCGGTAGAGTCGTATCCGACTCGGTCACCTTCGATTTGATAACAATCCATGTTATAAGAATATCACGAAACTCATCTGAATCGGTAGGGACTCGGAGTCAAATCATTTGACTTAGGCCAAGTCAAAACGATATGAGTAGAACCGATCTATAAGTAGTAGCAAAGCAAAGAAAAAGAGAAAGGGAGAAGAGAAACGTAAAAAGAGGAGATCCATTTGAAGATAGCTCAATAGATTTGATTCTTGAATGAATTAAGTCCAATGAAAAAGAGATTCATATAAAATTACTTGAAATCAAAGATCTACTTGTGCAACTACATGGAACTCATCAGTCAATCGATTTGACGAATAATATCGAGATCTTAAGATTGATTTAAAAATAGGAGTTATGAAGTGAGTGAGTTATTTTGCGAATAATGTGGTGATATTAAGATTGATTTAAAAGAAAGAGTTAGGATGTGAGTGGGTTGTGAAGGGGATTGTATGACTTATTGATTTGAGCTCAAGATTGGGGATTGAAAATAAATATTTTGGAAATATAACTTGACTTTTGGCCCAAGTAGCATATTTGATTATTAACTAATATTCATTTTGGACGGGAAAGATAGATCATTAGTGTTTACATTTTGGAAGATATAATCAGAGGACATGTATAGTTAGGTTCCAATTCTTTGTTTGCGTGTCTCTTGTTCTCCCCCTCCCCCTCACACACACACACACACAAACACACGCACACGCGCGCCTCTTTAGTGTTTAACGGTGAGACTTAACTGTTACATACTAACAACTGTCATACACTAATCTTATAAATATAATACAGTACAATTCCACGTAAGTGACAAATAAGTATATTTCTTAATTAATATATTTGGTGATATAAATAAAATATAAATTAAAATCTCTCAACATTTTTATATGTACCCATATATGCATTGAAATAATTTTTAAATATTTTTGGCAACACCCTTATATTTGATTTCACTAGGTTTAATAAGTTGGAGGATACATTTTGTGCGTATGATGCATTGATATTGTTGTTTATATTTTTCAAGATTTTTATAAATTTTTTTTGGGCCTTTTATTTATAATTTTTTCCGTATTGACCAATATCATGCTGCGATACTTTGACTGATGTGTATCAGTACCCTCCGAGTTGATAGCCAATACCACGACTTTGAACCATGATTGCACATGTTGAGTAAAAGAAAGATAGGTCCGTGTGTAGGGCTTGAAAGGATTAATGCCAATGTTAACACAATCAAGACCACCTCTGATATTTTCAATATGCTGTATCTGGAGGCTTTGGTGAATTTTGGGTGAGGATGATGCCAACTTGAGTCAATATTTTTCTCAATTGGATGGGCTGATGCATAGTGTGTGGATGCTATCTTCATGCAAGCAATTAGACTTATGAGGTAGTCCATGCTGGGATTTATCTATTGTAGACAACATGCCTTATTTTTTTTTAATGTTGAATATTTTCATTGATTAGTCAAAGTTTTAAGTTATGATTAAGGGTATTTATCCTATTAGAAAACATAAACAATATGTGTATCTTGGCCATTGAACATTTATTTTGATGTTATATGAGTTTTAAGTGAGTTATATGATCAATTATGGGTTGCTTGGTAATTTCTGCGTATTTTGTTTTTGCAGTACTCAATCTTAGCCCTTCATTAGCATATAAAAGGGGTTTCCTGAGTTGTATTCAACAGCTTTTGACGTCTTTGCATAAGCATTTCAGCCTGCTCCAGCAGACTTATCTGTCCCCACTTTTTTTGGGACTGAGTGTGGTTGTTTAAGCTTTTATTTGGCTTAATCTAGCTCTCTGTTCCTTGCAATTCAAATCTCCACTCTCTTAAAAGCTGAATGTATTAGAACCCTTTTGAAGACCACCTTTTTCTGAATGGCTTTTCAAAAAGCAGGCTATTTTCAGGAGACTGTATTAAATGGCTTTTCTTTTCTTATTGTTTTGTTATTTCTTTTTATTAATTTATTATCTTTTTAACTCAGTTCAGCTAGGAACAAAATATGGCCCTGAACAGCTCCTTTTCATTATACTTTTGATTGTTTTCATTTTTGCAAGTAGTAGACAGTAGTTGATTGGGAATTCCTGAATAACTTCAAATTGGTGACTGATGGTTCCTCTCATGTATGTACAGTATTTGATTGCTGTTTCACTACTGATGCTTGGGAAGAAAGGGATTATAAAGTCTATGTGGGAGGCATAATTAGTCAACTTCGGAATCACTACCTAGACGCTTCAATTTTGGTTTTCAATTTTCGTGAGGGAGAGACACAAAGCCAGATTGCCAATGTTTTGTCTGAGTATGATATGACGATAATGGATTACCCTCGGCACTATGAGGGTTGCCCATTGCTATCAATGGAGGAGATCCACCATTTTCTGCGATCAAGTGAAAGCTGGCTCTCACTTGGGCAGCAAAATGTGCTTCTAATGCACTGTGAAAGAGGTGGTTGGCCAGTTTTGGCTTTCATGCTGGCTGCACTTCTGATTTACAGGAAACATTACACGGGGGAGCACAAGACCTTGGATATGGTCTACAAGCAGGCTCCACGTGAACTTTTGCAGTTGCTGTCACCTTTGAATCCACTCCCTTCTCAACTAAGGTACTTACAGTATGTATCAAGGAGGAATGTCGCATCAGAATGGCCTCCACTGGATAGGGTACTCACATTGGACTGTATCATTATAAGAATGATTCCTAATTTTGATGGAGAGGGAGGTTGCCGCCCAATGTTTCGAATATATGGACAGAATCCTTTAATGGTGGCAGATCAACGCCCCAGAGTTCTATTCTCAACTCCAAAGAAAAGCAAAACAGTCCGGCATTACAAGCAGGTAGTATATAATGGTTTATTTCGTTTCCAATATACCTCTCATGTGAAAATTGTTGTTCTGCATCTCTAGGAAAAATGATATTCTATTCATCCCATCTACTTCGTGTGAAGGCTATTCATGTTGTGCTTATCTCTAGAATCACTTGTATTATTTTACGCTATATCATTGGGAAGTCTTTGTATTTGCCTTTAAAGATTCCATGAATGTGTTATTCAGTAAAAACTTTGTGTAGACCTGTAACTTATAGGGTGTAGGGAGCAATAATATTGTTGGAACAGGTCAAGAAAGGAAGGCATCCAAGTGGTGCCTTTGGCCTACAAATTTAGAATATTCATAATTTGGACTTTTTGATTAGTTGCATATTAATAATTGTTTTCAATAGGAGTTGCATTATTGAATGATTGACTTGACTATTGGATACGTGTATGAAAGGATACATACAAACTGCTTTTTCTAATTGAGTCTGAAAAATGGGTTATACAGTGCGGAGACGTTAATATTTGTATGTATGTATTTATAAATGTAGGCCTGTTTACATGATCAAGAGCTGTATACGTAGGTCTGTCTGTGGTATGCATGAAATAGAACAGGCAAAAAAACCACTATAAGAAATATTAACCAATAATGTTATACAAACATAATATTCAAAAAGAAAGATTGCTTATAGTTTCTTAAATCTTCTATATGTGTAACTAAAAGGATCCACATGAGAAAGTACAACATTATATTGCATTGTGTTGCATGAACGGATTTGGAACTGTGAAGGGAGCTATCCTACATCGAACAATTAAGTAGACTCAACGCTAGTTTATATACTAGGGGCCTTACAAAATCTCTTACTTTCCTTTGTGAATTTCTATGTAAGGCCTTACCAAATTAGTGTTTTAACTTAAAATGCTGTCCTAAACTTAAACCTGATTGATGGAAATCAGGGAAACCTGCACATGATTTATTGGTTGTAACCAAACAAGAAAAGCAAGGTAGAGAAATAGTACTGCTTCCTCTGCTACATTTGAAGCTGGAACATGGTACTTCAGCTGTCTTATGATCGAAGTTCTCTTTAATCATCCTTTATACAAACTTGTATGATGTATTTTGAAGCTGATACTTGGCAATCTTAACGACCTGATGTTGTCTGGAACTTCTTACTACCCTGTTGCAGGCAGAGTGTGAATTAGTTAAGATTGATATCAACTGCCATATTCAAGGTGATGTTGTGCTAGAGTGTATCAGCTTATATGATGACATGGAACGGGAAGAGATGATGTTTCGAGTTATGTTCAATACAGCTTTTATCAGGTCAAATATTCTAATGCTTACTCGTGAGGAAATAGACATATTGTGGGACGCCAAGGATCAATTCCCTAAGGACTTCAGGGCAGAGGTATATTTCTACACATCTTTTTCCATTACCCTTTTTGAATGTATTCACCCAAAAGAAGCATAAGCATGTGTGTTTTTTTTAAGTGAAATTATCATATGGATGAAGGTTCTTTTTTCGGACATGGATGCTGCTGCTTCTGTAGTTCCTGTAGATTTATCTTGTTTTGAGGAGAAGGACGGCCTTCCAGTGGAGGCATTTTTTAAAGTTAAGGAGATCTTTAGCAGTGTAGATTGGCTTGTTCCAAATGAAGATGCTGCACTAAATCTGCTCCAGCAAATGACTGCACCAAGTGTTGTTCAAAAAAAGGTGGATGCTGATTCTTATGAAAGCATTGAAACTCACGCTTTATTGCATGAATTAAGCCCTGAAAAGCATCTGGCTGTCCAAGAAAAGTTGGACACTGATTCTCACCAGAGCATGGAAAGTGGCCCTTTATTGCATGAATTAGGTCCCGAAAAGCATCAGGAGATACAATGGCCTGCAGCAATTGAAAATAAAAGTAAGACCATCAAATACTTGGCTCTAGAGAAGCAGTCTGTGCCCTCTTCCTTGCCATTCTTAATTGCAGACGTGAGCGAACAGAAGGCCAAGCCCCAGAATGTGGAACCTGTAAGTGAGTCAATTTTTCCANGCCCTCTTCCTTGCCATTCTTAATTGCAGACGTGAGCGAACAGAAGGCCAAGCCCCAGAATGTGGAACCTGTAAGTGAGTCAATTTTTCCACCAACCCCGCCACTGCCTCTTCCATCACGGCCTGTTTTTGCTGCTGATATAGAATCTCCTGCTGCTTCTCCACTTTTACCACCATCACCAACACCTCATCATCTTCCAACCCTGGAACTTACTCGTCCTTCACTTCCTGAACAGCCTGACAGCTATGTACGAGGAGATAGACAGCCATCGGTTTCTCCTTTGCCTACAACTGAGAGTCCATCTTCTGTTGGCTTTCCTTCTTCACCACCACCTCCGCATCCACCTCCTATGCTACATTTGAAGGATCCAGGTATTAGCACTGGCCCTTCTCTATCCCCTATAACTCGGACACTGCTGCTTTCTCCCACTTTGCCTTCGAAGGACAATGCAGCTAGTAGAATTAGACCTCCTCCACCACACCCTCCTCCCCCAATATCGACGAATCCTCCATCTCTATCTTCAAAGGGTGATACAGCAACGAAACATCGACCTGCTCCATGCTTAGCTCCTCCATCTCCGTCTTTGAATTTTGAGATAGCTACTAAAATTATACCTCCACCACCACCACCTCCTCCCCCAACTATTCCATCCAAAGGAAATGCAGCTGTTAGATCTGGACCACCTCCCCAACCACCTCCTGCACCGACTCCACCTCCTCCTCCAACTCCGCCTGTGAAGGAGAATTCAGTTTATGGAGCCGGATCACCTCCACCTCCACCTCCTCCTCTTCGTTCTGGGCAAGCTGCAGGACCTGAGATTGTATCTTCAGTACCCCTGCCACCACCTCCTCCCTCCCCCAGTTTGTCAGCCAAGCATCATGACCATGCTTCACAGAATGCTTCAGGTGTTCCTTCCACACCGCCTCCTCCGGTCCTTTTTGTTAAACGGGATTTTAAGGTGGGTGGTGTTCAACCGGAAGCTATTTTGACGGGTATTGGTGGAGATACTAATTTACCTGCAACTCCATCCCCCCCTCCACCTTCTATTCCTCCACCCAACACAAAGGGACGAACTTTGTCACGCACCATGACTTCAAGGAACAATCAGACAAAGAAACTGAAACCCTTGCATTGGTTAAAGTTAACAAGAGCAGTTCAAGGAAGCTTGTGGGCTGAGACTCAAAAATCTGGTGAAGCTTCCGAGTATGGATTTGCTTTGTTGGTGGAGAAATTCTGTTTTCTGATTCACCTTGTTTTCTCTGGTCTCATGCATGATCATGTTTGTTGTGTGTGCACATTAGGGCACCCGACATTGATATTAAAGAACTGGAGTCTCTCTTCTCAGCCACGGTGCCTAATTCTGATCAGGGGGGCTCAGGAGGCAGATCAAATTCACGTGCCTCATTGGTCCATAAATCTGAGAGAGTGCAACTGGTAGTTTATTTTTCACCTAAAATTTGGGATATATATCCACATTTATTCTTGCTTGACCCAAAAGTCTATATATCTATGTCGATATATACTTCTACTATTTTTCATTGGTTGTTAACTGTGGACCAGCCTCAACATACTGTCTTATGCTCATAATAATTGAGGTGGTTTGTTGTAAAGATAGATTAGGACGAGCCTGTTCCAATAATCAATATCCTTGTCGGATCTTAAATTTGTATGTTTATCACTTCTGCCTCCTGTGTGTCTTAAATCTTTTTTCTTTTGGTAAAAGTACTGTAGATCTTAAAGCAGTATCCCCCAGAATCAATATCTTCAAACCTTTTAGATAGCTTATCTAGCAAAATATTGTTAAACAATGATCAATGGCTGAAGTTTTTTGTGCTAGATCCTGTGTGTGGATTGATGAGAGATGTGTTTAGGCCAAATTGTATATATTCCTTCCGAATATTTTAGTGTTTGGGTTGAGCCGTTTAATTTCCTAGTCTTTGGGGCTTCCGTCGTATACTGTAATAATCTTGTCTCATATATTATGAAATATTTTTTTTTCAGTTCCCTAGTAAGACTTGTTAATGCTTATGGGACATGTTTGTTTGGGAGTTTTAGTGGTATTATCGGGTGGGATAGCAAGAAATAGTGCCTGGAGCCCACTTATTACCTTTTTTGTTTGGCATTTTATGTGCAGTACTATTTTTTTGATTGCAATACTGACTCGTTTTGTACAGTAGCCTTTAACCCTTGTACATGACTTTAATGAATATCACCTACCAAGTGGTATTATTTGCCGGTATAAATCCACCAACGGTACAAGCAAGGAAAATGACACAAATATCTTTCTGTGTAGAGTTCGCATATAAAAATTTTATTTTGATTTTTTTTTCTTGTATTACGTTTAAGTGTATGATGTCACTGGTTTTCTTTTTTGATTTTTTTAAAAAATTGTTTGAATTTTTTCCTTGTATTATCTTTAAGCATACGGTGTCATCGGTTTTTTTTATATATTTTTTTAAAAAACTTATTTTTAAATTTTCTCTTATATTATGTTTAAGTGTACGGTGTCATCGGTTTTTTATTGTAATTTTTTTTTTCAAAAAATTATTTTGAATTTTTTCCTTATATTATGTTTAACCGTACGGTGTCATTGATTTTTAAAATTTTTTTTTTTACGGTATCACCGATTCATAGTATCAAATTCTTTATTTTTTTTGTGGATTTTTTATATTATTTGAAATTTTTTGTGTATGGATAGCCATACCATGTATTATACCAAACATTGTGCAAAAATGTTACACAAACGGAGTAATGAAATGGATGGTGTTAATGGTAAAATAGTATATTTGTTTTACAAGATGTGATAAAATAGATAGTTATTTGTGGGACTCACCATTATACCTATTAAATAAACAAAAATAGGAGGGGATTGAAGTACTTTCTATTACCGGTACTAATTTCTATTAGTATTGGAAATGTAAGGAATATATTTCTTAATCCCATGCATAGCAATACTCAGAACAAACATGCCCATGGTGTAGCATAGAGTCGAAAAGGTTTTCAAGGCCACTTATTGCAAATTTTTATATGGGTAAAGCCNTGGGGCTTCCGTCGTAGACTGTAATAATCTTGTCTCATATATTATGAAATATTTTTTTTTCAGTTCCCTAGTAAGACTTGTTAATGCTTATGGGACATGTTTGTTTGGGAGTTTTAGTGGTATTATCGGGTGGGATAGCAAGAAATAGTGCCTGGAGCCCACTTATTACCTTTTTTGTTTGGCATTTTATGTGCAGTACTATTTTTTTGATTGCAATACTGACTCGTTTTGTACAGTAGCCTTTAACCCTTGTACATGACTTTAATGAATATCACCTACCAAGTGGTATTATTTGCCGGTATAAATCCACCAACGGTACAAGCAAGGAAAATGACACAAATATCTTTCTGTGTAGAGTTCGCATATAAAAATTTTATTTTGATTTTTTTAAAAAATTGTTTGAATTTTTTCCTTGTATTATCTTTAAGCATACGGTGTTATCGGTTTTTTTTATATATTTTTTTAAAAAACTTATTTTTAAATTTTCTCTTATATTATGTTTAAACGTACGGTGTCATCGGTTTTTTATTGTAAAATTTTTTTTCAAAAAATTATTTTGAATTTTTTCCTTATATTATGTTTAACCGTACGGTGTCATTGATTTTTAAAATTTTTTTTTTTACGGTATCACCGATTCATAGTATCAAATTCTTTATTTTTTTTGTGGATTTTTTATATTATTTGAAATTTTTTGTGTATGGATAGCCATACCATGTATTATACCAAACATTGTGCAAAAATGTTACACAAACGGAGTAATGAAATGGATGGTGTTAATGGTAAAATAGTATATTTGTTTTACAAGATGTGATAAAATAGATGGTTATTTGTGGGACTCACCATTATACCTATTAAATAAACAAAAATAGGAGGGGATTGAAGTACTTTCTATTACCGGTACTAATTTCTATTAGTATTGGAAATGTAAGGAATATATTTCTTAATCCCATGCATAGCAATACTCAGAACAAACATGCCCATGGTGTAGCATAGAGTCGAAAAGGTTTTCAAGGCCACTTATTGCAAATTTTTATATGGGTAAAGCCGTAAACATTTACAAAAATAGGGTATCTAATGCCTGTAGAAGTGTAAAAGTCGTTATCCCAATGAAAAAGTAAATAATAGTGTAAGATATTATGGTTTTTGGGATGCTAATCCATTAGGACTGAGCACTTAAATGAGGGAAAGAGTTTGGCTCACCAAATAAGATTTTTAAGGGTATGCGAAGAGTTTTTTTATCCAAACAAACAGTAGATAAACATTTCATTAAGTAGGGAAGTTTAAATTACAATCAGTCAAGATAAAAGCCTTAAGCTCTGGAGGTAGAGATACAACCCATCCTAACGGGAGCGAGTTGTGCATAGCAGCAGTTGCCACCCAGTGAGCAGTCTTGATATAGGCTTTAGGCTTGTGTAAAAAACTAATATTGTAACCTAGCAAAACATCTAATGTCTTCCATAAGGATATTGATTTCCCATGGGGGAACATCCTCAGTAGTACTTAATTTGATGATGTTGAGACAGTCGCTTATGATTGTGGCATTCTTCAGCAATCGGGCATCAACAAGAAGGTAGTCTTGTTGCACTGCCTCTGCTTCCGAAACCATACTTGAGGTAGCTGAGAAAGATTTTGCTACTCCGTCCATCAGTCCTCCCTTGAAATGATAGAGCAAAACAGCACATGCAGCCTTATCAATTTTTGGCTTTAAAGCTCCATCGCAGCAGAGGAGTATCTCAGGGCCTGACTGTTGCATTCTCTCCTCCTCCTACATTGGTTCTGTTGTTTCATTGGACTGCACTTAATTTCCATATTGAAGAGCTCATTCCACATACCTTTTGTTCTCATGATGGTTGCAAGAGCATTTGGAGCTTCATCATTGAAAAATTTCTAGTTCCTTGTCTTCCATATTACCTAGCCCACTGTGGCCATCTTCCCCAATACCTCATGTCTACTTTGGGGTTCCTTCACTGCTTCCAAAATTTGAGAAGTTCTTTGGGCAATAGAAATAAAGACTACCTGTTCCAAAGTATAACCCATTTCCATTCCAAACCACACTCTGATAGTTCATTCACTTGCAAATAAAAAATGCTCAATGGATTCTGGAGCTAAAAGGCAGATTTGGCACACATGCGATGAGGCACACTTCCTCTTATAAAGATTCTCTTGAGAAGCAAGAATGTTATGGCATGCTTTCCACCAAAAGTGTTTCACCTTAGGTACTACCTTCATATTCCATATCACTTGCCACATCTTAGGGTGAGGGGAAAAAGAGGAACTTGATTCACTTAGACAAGTGCCCTTAGAATTCCCCAACTTATATCCTGATTTCACCGAAAAATCTCCATTTATGTTGGGCCACTAAATTCTCTTGTCTTTTCCTCTTGTAGCTGGGATTGGAATAGTCTGGATAGCTCTTATTTCCTCCTTAGAGACATTATCTTAGAGGATTTGAGCATTCCATTCTTTTGGTCTCTCCTTTATAGTATCAGCAACCTGGTCAATAGGACAGTTCTGTGGCCTTGGTGCCTGAATCCCCAAACTAGGCAGTTGGGGAATCCATTTGTCTTCCCAAAAATTTGCTTCTCTTCCATCTATGATTTGCCACATAATGCCTTTCTCAAGAAGCTCTCTTCCATGGAGTAAACTGCTCCAGATCCATGACTGTCTAGCCCCACGCTTGGCCTTGATAAAATCCTCATTTTGAAATTAAATAGCTTTAAGGAATTTTGCCCAGAAGGCATCTGGATAGGTGATGAGTCTCCAGCACAGCTTCGCCAATAGGGCCTGATTGAAAACTTTAAAATCTTTGAATCCCATTCCTCCCCACCTTTCCACCAAAAATTCCTTACATAACAATTCAGTTTCTGGCAAAATTTTTTTGGAAGCTCCACTATTGACACGATATAATTCAGAATAGCTTGAATTACTGCTTTTATTAGTACCTCCTTGCCTGCATGTGAGAGAAGAATGCTTTTCCAGCCCTGTAGTTTTTTCAGGACTCTTTCAAGGATGAAGCCAAAAACAAACTTCCTTGAACTTTTCTACGCTGTAGGGATCCCCAGATACTTTGCATTATGTGGGAGGCTCTGCATTCCCAACAGGTTACATACGAAATATTTTTGATCCAAAGAAGTATTAGAAGAGAAGGTAATGCTTGACTTTTGGTGGTTAGTACACTGCCCCGATGCAACACAATAGTTCTGAAGAATTCTTAGCTATTCCATTACTCCCTCTTCCTTTGCCTTGATGAAAAACAGTGAGTCGTCAGCCAAAAACAGATGGAAGATAGCAGAACTTCTTCCCTTTACCTTAATTCCCACAAACCTCCGGTCTGCAACTCCTTTGTTTAACATGGATGAGAGGACATCAACAACTATTATTACAAGATAAGGGGAGATGGGATCACTTTGTCTAATCCCCTTTGAGGCTTGATCTCACATTTTCTTTCCCCATTTAGTATCACTTTGAAAGATACAGTACTGACACATTGCATGACTAGATTCACCTATCGACAGTTGAATCCCATTTTAAGCATAGTTGCTTCCAAAAAATCCCATTCAACTCAGCCATAAGCTTTACCGATGTCCGTTTTTATTGCAATTTCAGGAATCCTTCCTCTCTTCTTGCCTTTTAAATGATGGAAGACTTCATATGTTGGGAACGAAAGCAGCCTGGTTTGGAGAGATGATAAGACTCATGACCCCCTTCATTATATTCGCCAAAACCTTTGAAATCACTTTATACAGGAAATTGCATAGAACTATAGGCCTGAACTGTTCTACTGACAATATTTGTGTGGTTGAGCTCTTTCAGCAGCTGACGATCTTCAAAGAATTGTTTAACTACTTGGTAAACATCTTGGCCCACAATATGCCAAAACTTCTGATAAAAAATCCCAGGGAAACCCTCTGGACCAGAGGCTTTAAGGCCCCCAGTTGGTTAGCTGCATTATGCACTTCCTCCTCAGTGATAGGTCTCAATAGGTTCTGGTTCATATCCTCTGTAACCTTACATTGCACGACACTCAAGACCTCATTGAAATTTCTTTCCCTACTATTTTGAACAAATTCTGGAAATAATCCTTAATAAGAATGCTAATGTCTTCCTCCCCTTCAATCCAGACCGAGTCTTCATTTTTGAGTTTCAAAATCTGATTTCTTTACCGCCTTTGAATGGTAGAGAGATGAAAAAATCTGGTATTCTGATCTCCTTCTTTTAACCGGTTGATCCTAGATCTTTGCATCCAGAACTTTTCCTCTATGCTTCTGATGCCATCCAATTGAGAGCACAAATCAGCTTCTTTCATAAGATTTTCCTCTGATGGAATCTGCATTTGGACCTGAAATAATTCTTTCTCCAGATCCTGTTGCAATCTCCTATTATTGCCAAACTTTTGTTTACCCCACGCTGAGACTAGAATTGTATTGTCTCAATTTATTGATAGTGTCAAGCATAGTGAAACCTGTGACCCTTTTGTTCCAAACTTCCTTTACCACTTCCTCACATGAAGAGTCTTCCAGCCACATGTAGTCAAACTTGAAGTAATGAGAGACCTTTCTTGCCAACCCAAAATCAATGATGATTGGACAGTGATTCGACCCCATTCTAGCTTCATGGATCACTTGTGTAGCTGGACAGAGTGTTGTCCATTCTGTGTTGATTAAGACTCGATCCAAGCGTTTTTGCACATTAGCTGACCCAGGTCTATTGCTGGACCAAGTGAATCTTGGCCCTTTGAAATTTGTATCCATAAGGTTGCATTCTGAAATAACGTGTTGCAATTCCTCCATCTTCTTTATGTTACTAGCTGGGGCTCTTTCTCATCCAAAGATCCAATGACATTAAAGTCCCCTACAACCATCCATGCCTTAGAGATGGAGCTGGCCATAGCCTTGATACACTGCCACAACCTCTGCCTCTTCTCAAAATCTGTATCTGCATAGATGACGGAACACTGCCATGCCCCTGGTATTTGATGAGAACTGCAGCTGATGTTTATCATATACTTATTCTTGAAATTCACTTGGAGGTTTATCTCCTCCTTCCACCAAAGGGCCAAACCACCTGATAATCCCATTGGTTCCACATATTCACTATTTTGAAAGTTCAAAGATCTTCTCAATCGTTCTAATTTAGGAGACTTGTTCTTTGTTTCCATTAAAAAGACGATTGGAGGACGATGAGATTTAATTATCCCTCGCACATTACAGACTGTCCGGGGTCGTCTCACTCCCTGACAGTTCCAAGTAAGAGCTAACATGAGGTGTATGGTTGTTTAAGGTTTGCCACCACCACCTTTTCCATTGGACATATCGATTCCCCCTTTTCTGGGACATCACTCGGAAGATGAGAAATCCATTGGGACATACATAAATTAAGATTATTCTCACCTTCTCCTGCCATTGTTGTATCTTCCTGCTCTTTTGGGGGTAGATATTGTTGTTCCTCTGTCTCTTCCATGTAAGCAAGGTAGATTTCAGCATGAGTCCTGTTGTCAACTCCCCTCCTTTTCTTTTGTCGATACTTCTTTGTCTAGACCATTGATTCATTCTTCTCCCACGGGCTTGGAAAGGTAAGGGTGAGAGTAGATGGTTGCCCTAACTGAGGGAGGTATAGCAAGTCATCTTCTGAACCTTGGCTTGAGGACCTTTTGTGTTTCTTCCATTCTATTAATTGGGCTTTCGTCTCATCATACTTCAACTGGGCTTTTCTTTTCAATTACATTTTCTGAAAATGAACTTCCATTCTATCTTCTGAGTTTTCATTCCTACTACCTATGAAGACTTTGACCTCCTTTGGGCTTGGCCCAAAAGACTGCATAGTATCTATTGCCTTTGTGACAAAATAGGGCACCTCTCTTGAGACTTCACCGGTGAATGAGAGTTTTTGAATTCCATGATCCAATCTGCAATGGTCCTATTTTTACTCCACCATCATTATCGACACAACAGACAAAGGTGACTCATCATTTCTTGGTCCACGTGCCTGATTAGGGGAATCTCGTACTAGGGTCGTGCATTGAGGTAGTGTATTGTCTCCTGCGGAATTGTGGTGACTGTCAGATTCTTTAGCGTGTGATAACAAACTGTTGCTTGGACTCACATGCGCCTTTGGAGCTTCATCATTGTTTCTGATCGCTTGTAACTTACCCTTCATTTCTCCCTTTTCTCCATAACTTCTCGAGCTTTCAAGGATCAAGTTTCCCTAAAGAAGGCTGTCACTTGACTGCTTTGTACCCTCATTTCCAGGCCATAGTGACCATTGGTTCCCAAAGAGTTTCTATCCCCTCAGTGGCTCTGTGAATGTCTAATCCTTCCACAGTTGTAGCAAAAGTCAGAAAGCCTCTCATATTTCTGACTGATCCAAATGTCATTCTACTTCTCACGAGTCAAATAAAAATCCTTTGTCAATGGTTCTTTTATGTTTATTCTGTATCTGACCCTTAGGAAACTTCTCTGTATTTGAAACTCTCCTTCAAATTCTTCGAGTGAGTTGGTTCACCGACCACCATTCCTATCCTCCATGAGTTGTTCCTTGTCATCATATTCAGTGATAGCACCCATATTTGCACCAAAAACTTAGTGAAATGGAAATCAAAGTCTCTAATAATGCTCTGTGGCTGACAAGTTTTCATAACCAGCAGAGCTCCCATAACAGACCATGGGCCTTCCTTCAGGATTTTTTCTGTCATCCTCATCTTTTAACATGAACATATACGTGTTCCTTTCCCAATAGGTGATTAAGAAACCTTTTGATGTTTTCCATGAGCTCTATAACACATTGCATATGCCTTGTTTATTTAGGCTTGTTTTTATGATGAATCCGCCCACTAGACAGAGTTTTTGGACATCTTTAGAGGTGGAGGGGTTTGTTTAAAGTGAAATGCGGGGGTGGTCAAAGGGTTGAGACTCGCCTTCTGTATCCTTGTCTATTAATTTTTTGATTCTGAGATGATTTGAAGTGGGTTAATGAAAAAAGAAACAACAAGAGTTTGGATTTGGGGAGAAATCGAAGTTTGGTTTTCTGATACGAAGTGAAGATAGAGAGTTTGGGTTTGGGAAGAAATCGAAACTTGATTTTGCAGAGCGAAACTTGAAAGAATTGATGTGTATTTAGGCAAGCTAAAGTGTTTTCGGTGGTTGTATGTAGGAGAAAAGAAAAGGAAGAGGGTAAAGGAGTTGACGGGTTCAGGGATCTGGTATGGATTCTTTAGTAAGGAAAGGCTTAAGATCTTGGGAAAGGGAAGAGTCTTCTTGAATACACGATTAGTGAAGAAATTGAGGATATTACCTTAGGGAAAACCCTAATAAGAGTAGAAGGCTCTCATTCGAGAGGAAAAAACTTTCTTAATGTTCCTTTCCCTTCCTTCACACCTCACCATCTTGCAAAGAGTTAAGAAAGCCTTTTTATCCATGATATGATTTTTAGCAAAAACTTAAAAAAAAGAATTATAGAAGTAGAGAGAGGATGGAAATCACTTTTACAATACATTGGGGATTACAAAATAGGCTAGAATTTGTTGCACAATTTAAAAGTTGTTTTTCCTTGAATTGAAGAGCACGTAACAATAGTCTGTTGAACTTCTCTTCTTCCTACTCACTCTATATTGCTTGATATTTGCAAACATATATTGAATGGCGAAACACATCTTGACCTCTATGCAAAATTATCCAATAACATGACAACTAAAATAAAGGTTAGATTATTTATTGATTTTTAGAAGGTGAATGTCAAACACTGTTTTTATGTGTCTTGAATGCTTGGAAAGTGATGCTTTATGGAACAAAGATGGATTATTAGGGACAATTAAATATTCAATTAGTTTGGCATGTGCAAAACCACTTTTGATATCTGCATTACTGAGGAAGGAGGAATCCAGGAGTATATGTGCGTACAATAATCATCCCGGTAGCACACTCTTTGTTGTCATATCAAATTGCACTTTGTACTGGTGACATCATGGAAGTGAGATGTAATAGACTGACACTTATATCTTTAATGATTGTGTGTTGAACTAGTATTCAGTTTAGTATGGGTTCACCCTTACAACCTTTTTTGTTGGTAGCTGAAGATTTCTTGCAAACATCAAACCTTTATTTGGTGGATTCCACTTCTTGCAGATTGAACATAGGCGGGCCTATAATTGTGAAATCATGCTTTCGAAGGTGACGATACCGACACATGACTTAATGGTAAGTTAAATAGTAGTTGCATGTCTTGCTGGTTATTGAATTTTTGTTTTTGTTGAATTAGTCTAGAATCCATTTCAAAAAATTTTATTTTCAAATTTGGGTTGCGACATGATTTATTTTGTTTGTTTGGGTCCATCCTAGTTTTTGTCTAGGCTATCATCCTTTCTTTTTTTATCTCATGGATTTTTCATTTTGTCTGCATCCTTGTCCTTGCTGTTCAATGCTTTCAGTCTACGCATTTTCACTCCATAGTCCTAAACTGTGTGCTTTATCTCTCATTATTCTTTTTACCGCAAAACACCTTAGAAGCACTTCTCCACTACCTTCATTTTACCCTCCTCTGCTGCTTTGTTATTCCCTAAACCAAGAGGGAGGTGGTCACTCCAGGACATTACTCTTGCCGAATCGTTCATGTATACATTGTTCATTTTACTTTAATGTATTTTATTTGCTTGAGTCAGCTCGTCCTAAATCCTTTTGACTAATTGGTGGTGTCCACCCAGATGCGAGTCCAGTGAAGTGAAATTGTGCTGTTATCAGCTGACATTCAGTGTGACCGAATATTTTATCACTTTGGTCATTCGCCCACATTTAATATTCAATAATTTTCATTGTTTGCGTGGTCTCTGGTACTTCTCTCTTAATTGTTACAGTTCTGTTTGCACTAGTTGTCATTTACCTATTTGAAAGTCCATGATCAACAAATTATTTTCCAAGAGAATGTTGATATTTTCTGAAGGTCAATGAAAGTCTATCGTACCTCTTCTTTGATTTTATTGTTGGCACATATATTTCATGCTCCATATTTTTAGTTTCTCTTCTCCCTTAATGGAATACATGTTGTCAGTTCATTTGTTTGTTTCTGTTGGTATATATATATATATCATGCTCCATATTTTCAGTTTCTCTTCTCCCTTAATGGAACACATGTTGTCAGTTCATTTGTTTGTTTCTGTATTTTTCTATTATCTATGTTAGGTTGTGCAGGAACGGGTTATTTCTTTATTACTTATCAAGTTTTGCATATTGTTAACCTTGACAGAGTTCAGTGCTTGCCTTGGAAGATTCAGCATTAGATGTTGATCAGGTTGATAACCTCATAAAGTTCTGTCCAACAAAAGAGGAGATGGAACTGCTTAAGGTAGGGTAGTGCAACAGATGTACGTTCTTATGTTTGATTTACTTCCTAATTTAATGTCTATTCAGCTGATGATTTTATTTACAGGGCTACAAAGGAGATAAGGATAAGTTAGGAAAATGTGAACAGGTTTGTGGGATATTAATCTTTCTGTTGTGGGAGGTTCTGTCTTTTTCTTAATTATGCACAAGAATATATGACATGAATATTCACTGTTTTGTGATTCTCCATGACAGTTCTTCATGGGGTTAATGCAAGTTCCGCGAATAGAATCTAAGCTCAGAGTTTTCTCATTTAAGATTCAGTTTTGTTCTCAGGTTAAAAGATAGTACATTTGTTGCCTGTCTCTACAAATTATGGATTTTGTGTTATGTAATGCTTTTTTTTTTTTTTTTTTATGCCTTTCAGGTTTCTGACCTCAGAAATAATCTGAATGTTGTAAACTCAGCAGCAGAACAGGCAGCTTAATCTATTTTTCTCATTTTAATACAGTTCTTTAGATGTTCAAATGAAGATTGATGCCTCATTAATTTGTTAACGATGCTCTTAGCAGATCAGGAGTTCTGTCAAATTAAAGAGAGTTATGCAGACAATTCTCTCACTGGGTAATGCTTTGAACCAGGGGACTGCAAGGGGTGAGTTGAAATTTGATTTCTCTAGTATCTTGAAAAATGCATTATTTGTGGTAATTTATTTTGTGCAAGGCTTCCAATTTTCCTTAGCTGTTGCAATTAGCAATACATTCTCAAATTGGATGCAATCAAATAATAGAAAGAGAAGAAGAAAGAAGAGGAGTGGAAGGGATTCATCTGATCCTGAGAGGAATCGGTTAAGAAACACACAAAATTTTTCACAGAGAAACTAGTTTTTTTTTATATTACTCTTTATAATAAAAAANCAATCAAATAATAGAAAGAGAAGAAGAAAGAAGAGGAGTGGAAGGGATTCATCTGATACTGAGAGGAATCGGTTAAGAAACACACAAAATTTTTCACAGAGAAACAAGTTTTTTTTTTATATTACTCTTTATAATAAAAATTAGTGGGAATTACATTGATATTTATAGGCCAAGTTAAGGATCAAAATATCGTTTCGAAACGGTCGTAACGTCCGAAACGTTTCTGTTTTCAAGGAGACCAAAACGAATTATTGATGGAATCGAAATTCTAATATTTCTAGGTATTTCATAATGTTTCGATATGTATTATAATATTTCAATGCATTTGCACAATTGTTTCAGAATGTTTCAAGGTGTTTCAAAATATTTTGATATATTTAAATCAATGTTTTAGAAAAATAATTCTTAAATTTTTTATTCTTTTCATTATGCTTTCGAAACGTTTTTGAAACGTTTTCGTTTCTTAGGTGATCGAAATAATACACCGAAACGAAATTTTGATCTTTGGGCTAAGTCTCCTACCGAAATAAAACTATTATCCTAATAAAATTTTAACATAGTTTCATAACCTCTCAAATCCCTATCCTACTAAAACTCTATAATAATTTCTTAGACAAACTCTAATGAATACTCGTAGTTAAACAAATATTTTCTAACTAATATAATAATTACTAAAACAAATAATAAAATCCAAGACTTCAATTAAGCTCATCCAATCCTTTTTCAATCTCTATCAATTCTCCTCGGCTGAAATTTTTTTTTTTCCGAAGAGTTGGAAGTCCACAAGAACTCCAAAAATCTAAAGAAGCTTGTGTTTCAAGAAAATAATATTGTAGATCCACATAGTACAAAACAATCCCTTGATGCGTTGCATCCATCACAATCTTATTCACATACACTATTATAGGTGAAGGGAACATATAAACCAGTGGAGACAAAATAGCAATACCATTTATAGTGGCACCCTTTGAAACTCCTTTAACTTCTTCTTTAAGAACATCCTTTGAAAGCGGCTTATCAAAAGCAATTGATGTATGACGAGGATGAGAACTTTTGGGCTTATCAACATTATATAATTTCAACTCATCATTTAGTTGAACTGAATGTACTAGTGGAGCTTGTGGTGGAATTAGAGGGTTGTGTTCAACCACTTGTTGATTGAGACTTGAACAGACAAAACTATAATCTTCACTTGTCTTAGTTTCACGGACCGTAGCTAGTCCCAAGTTCTCTTAATAAATTGATGGATGCTTGAATTGTATTTAATCTTTTATTCAATACTTCTTGTGCATCAACACGTTCTTGGAATAAAGCTAGTACTTTAGTATTTACCTCAACATTGGAAACCATCTTGTGAAGAAGTGACTTAAAAAGTTGTGAAAAAAAATTATGAGGGCCAAACTCTAATTTCAAAAAATTTTGGGACAAAAGTGTAATTTTTGAAACTGTTGGGGGGGCAAAAGTTTAATTTTTAATGTGGGCATGATTGGTGTTGGGCTTAGGCTAATTCTGGAATTGAGCTGATATTTCTGGAAGGGCCAAGGCTGAGTTAGGTTATGGGTATTGGGCAGTAAGTATAGCGTAGGACAATAGGAGAACTAACCTGTAATTTAGGTCGTCTTTTACACGATTGATTGAGTCACAGGCTCACATCAAACCAAATCCTTTCTCTTATTTCAATTACATAATCTGGACAGCAAGCAGCAAAGCAATGACAATGACGATGAATAGCAACAAGACAATATCATGTCTGTGATGATCAAGCAATAAGATTTGGATCGAGATTTTGCTCTGATACCAAACTAATGTAGGACGGAAAGGATTAGAAATTAGAGAATAGAAAGAGAAGAAAGAAAAGGGGGTGGACAAGATTTACCTCATCTTTGCAAGGAATTGGTCAAAAAATACACAAAATTCTCCATAACGAAATAAGTTTTTATTATATTACTCTCTCTAATAAAAATAGTGGGGATTATATCGATATTTATATGGCGAAGTCTCCTACCATAATAAAAACTACTATCTTAATAAAATTTTAAAATAATTTCATAACCAAACTCTCAAATTCCTATCCTACTAAAACTCCATAATAATTTCGTAGTCAAACTCTAATTATTACTCCTAGTCAAACAAATATTTTCTACCTAATATATTAATATTAAAACAAATAATAAAATTATAATTAAGTTTTTAGAACATATAGTGGCTTAATATTTTAAATACTTACACGTGCTTGGCTCAAAATCTAGCCCACACGTGGGGACGTGTTGAAGTTGAAGTATATA